GCTAAAAATAGATTATTAATTTAATTATTTAAAATTTCGTGTATATTAAATATAATATAATATGTAATTGAATAGTTTTAAATGTATTAATTCATTGTAAATAATATTTTTCAGTCACAAAATAATTAAAATCGTTATTATTGTTTAAATTACTGATTTTGTAAATTCAACTGAAATGTCATTTTTATAACATAGGGGTATATTATTATTTAATTTCATTTATAGTGTTTAAATATTAGACTGTGGAAAAATGTACTTAAAAATGAAAAATAATACATAGTTATGACTCAATATCAGATTTAGTAAGTACATTTATTTAAAATTTAATGTATCTATGAAAATTCTGAAATTGTATAGAAATATAAATGAAATAATAATTGTATATAGAAAATAATAGTAAATTAATTAAAATTGATTACTAAGTCACGAGGCTTTTAGCTTGAAGAGGATCTTTATACCCACATTTTTCATTAATTCTAACATAAATGTGAATTTAACATGAACCCAGTTATACAAAAATAATAAATATTTACAAATTATTACGGTATTTAAATAATAGATACATTTAAAATAAATTAAAAATCATATTTTATTATATGATTATTTAATTGATAGTACTAAATGGTAACTATAATTTTAATTTCATACGGATTAATGTAGTATTAATATTTTAATAATTTATTACTTTAGGGTATTTAAGACATCAATATATTATTAGTTATTAGTAATAACACTAATAACTTATTACTATTTTTATAAACCTACTTACTAATACCTATCTATTTGTATTTTTCATGTATTCACAAGATTATTTATGTTAAAATTTTAAACACTTTATAGTCGATTTAAAAGAGCTGTGAATTTTCTATTCATATCACCACTCTTTATTACATAGGCATAACTGTTACACAGTATTTTTATTATACAATTATTGTATTATATAATCTTAAGTAGGTACGTATTGAATTAATAAATTAACTTTTTATTGGTGTTAATGTAAACTACTTATTATTAATTTAAGTATAGAATATTTTGACGATTATTGTTTGTATAAAATGCCAAAATTCATTCTCCAACTCTCTTATCACTATGATTACCATACTATTTTAAATATATGGATACCAAATTAATCAGATAAAGAAATAAATAATAAAATGTCCATTTAAATTTGAAGCCACTAGCGACCATGTAGTCGCGACCGTTTAATAATAATTATTGTTTTGGAGAAACGCCAACCACCATTCGATCTTGACCTCATTGATGGCGCTGTTACGCTACAGACGTACTGGTTTCCTGACACAAAAATAACAATTCGCCTCCCTCTAGAAAAATTAAACGTAAAAATACTGAATGTTATATTGTATCATAACAAAGATATAATATTCATATATATTATACAATATAATATATGGGTAACTAATAAACTAGCAGTGATAATGGCGTAGGTACTCAAAATTTTAAAGATATAGTGGAAACGAAAATGTTTCTCACACCATCTTTCTCACAAAGAGAACCACAACAATCAACACACTAATCTTGAGGTATCTTACTATAACGTATCAATGAACAGATTAATAATCTACAATTATGTAAAAAGAAAACGTATTACCTACATATTATTATTATGTGGTGATTTATAGGTGAATACAAGTATTGTAAATACACCCACCCTTGTGCATTAAAATTGTAAATTTTGTAGAACAATACTATTTGGAGGGACAGATGTAACTCTATTTCGACCATTCAGATGGTTAAAAATACATGTTAGACATGCAGGCCACCTCGATGGATTAAAACATGGGCAACGATCTCTACGAGTTTACGGCTTTAGTAAAATTATACGTCACTGCTGAGGCTGCAGAGGCACATAATGCGTGCAAACATTGCAAACGTATAGGTAAACTGTAATGTATAAAATATCGTTATCGCGACACGTATAATATGATAATAATGATAATAGTATTGTAGTGGAATAGTATATTATCGGCCGGCGCAGACGATCGAGGTGACCTACAACGGCGGCGGCATAGATAAACGCGTATAATTAATAATAATAATAATAATAATATAGGTATAGATAAGTCGACGACGAAGAGAGTGCGTGCGCAATCGTGAGCGCTCCTCGCGCGCCGGTAGAAGATTGCCGCGGCCCGCGCGACTGGTCTAGGTGGTGGGGCGGCGGCGGCGGCGCGCGCGGTCATATAGAAAACGCGGGCCGAACCGGTTGAGCGACGTTGCCGGGCCGTGCGATGTTTCTGACCGGAACGCGTTCGGCCGGCGCGACCGTTCACCGCGGACGGTGTGCGGTGGTGGTGATGGTGGTGGGGG